AAAAAATTAGAAATAATCAAAATATATTTGAGTCATTTTGGAAACATATTCTCTTGGAAAAAAGTTCCCGAATGACAACATCTTTGTTGAAGTTCAAAACCCCAAAATCAATATGTAGAGAATCGGTTATATTTCGGTTCGATCTTATGGTAAATTATTGTCTCACGAACTAACAAATCAAATGCAAGTCTTTTCTCGAACGAATTTCTTCCTTTGCTTTTTAGCTTATAGGATATTAAGAATAGTTTCAGGTTGTTGTTTCTTTTTTAATGGTATATTTTTATATGTTACTCATTTATCGAACATTTCAGTCTTATAGTAAACTATTGTCTCACGAAATAGCAAATCAAATACAAGTCTCTTCTCGAGCGAATTCCTTATTTTGCTCTTTAGCTTATATGATATTAACAATAGTTTCAGGTTGTTGTTTCCTTTCGAATGGTATATTTTTATATGTTATTCATTTATCGAATATTTCGATCTTATAATAAATTATTGTCTCGCAAACTAAGCAAATCAAATGCAAACTTCTTCTCGAGCGAATTCCTTCTTTTGCTCTTTAGCTTATAAGATATTAACAATAGTTTCCGATTGTTGTTTCCTTTCTAAGGGTATATTTTTTATATGTTACTCACTCGTCTGGTTATTGAAAACACTATTTTTAATCCGATTTATATACGTTAAACATGTCTCTAGTATTTATTATAAAGTATAATCAAATTTTATATGATATTTATAGTTTCATTAATTATAATTCTCTTATTCGTTTAAGTTTAACATTTAATAATTAAATTACATATATTTATAAAAAAAAAAGACAAATAAATTAAATCTCTTAATAAACTACATATTATTTTTGTAAACAAAAAAAAAAAAGGCCCAATAAAATACATTCATCTCAAAGCCCAAAAATCAAAGAGTTTACATTCATGGTTTGATTCAATGTATCCATTTAATGCCCCTTCCAAATTAGTACACGTCATCTTACCTCAGCCTTCATATAAGAGGGAGACGACATTGTAATGTTTCTAAAACCCTAGCCGCTCTCCTCTTCCTCCCTTTCCTTTTCTGTAATTCTTTCTCCATTGTCTTCTTTCTTCCTCTTTCCTTCTCCAATTTTTAACAATCATCTCTTAAATAATTTAAAATCTTGTGTATATATATATATATACACGCACACACATGTATACATGGTTGCACTTTTTATTTGGCTATGTTTTCCTCTTACTCATACATCAAATAAAAGTCGTAAAAATTTCATATATTATTTGTACAAGTACGAGATCCTTGAAGTTCCAATGCAAAAGGCATTTCTTCGTAAAGAGATGGTGGAGGAACAACATCATACACAAAGTATAACTTCATATTCGATGGTTAAAGGTGTGTTTCTTTCTTCTAGAATTTTAATTTTTTATATGTCAAAAAAAATAATATATAAAGTGGATTTTTTAAAAGTTTAGTTCGATTTAGTTTATTTATCTTTTATTCAAAACTTTTAAAATAATTTATTTTAAATTTAAATTTTGGATGAATGACAATTGCCACTTGTCATCACTATCGCGTCATCGTAATTCTCCTTAGTCTTCGTTGTCGCTACCATTGTTACTATTATAATTATCTTTGTCGTCGTGGTTACTATTATTATCACTATTGTTATTGTTATTGTTGCAATTGCCTCTACTGTTATCTTTGTCGTCAGCCAACTATATTTTTCGCATCATCATCGACGTTGCCATCAAGTTATTGTTATTAATATTGTTATGATCATTGTCTCTATTGTCATTGTCACTATTACTATTATTAATGTAATTGTCCTCTATTTTTATTGTAGCAATCTCTTACCAGATACCATACAGTAACTACCATCTACTTAAGTGTCAAATATTGACACTATTGTCGTTGTCACCATCTATTATAGCCAACTACACTCACTTACATCATCAATGAAACTGCCATCAAATTGTCGCTAATATTATTGTTATCATTGTCACTATCATTATTATTGATGTAGTTGTTATTTATGTCTATTGTAACTATCTCTTACCATGTACCATACCATAACCATCATCTACTCAAGTGTCAGATATTGGCACTACTGTCAGTGTCACCATCTATTATAGCCAACTATACTCACTCACATCATCATCGATACTGCCATCAAGTTATTGTTGTTAATCCTGTTGTTATGATTATTACTATTACCATTATTGATATTATTCTTCTCTATTTATGGCAATCCCCCACTAGGTACCATACCCTAACCACCATATATTCAAGTGCCAAATATTGGCACTTATTTTCATTGTCACCATTTATTACAACTAACTATACTCGCTCACATCATCGTCGACACTACCATCAAATTATTATTGTTAATATTGTTGTTATTATTGTCACTATTATCATTGTCACTATTACTACTATTGATGTTGTTGTCATTTATTTCTATTATAACAATCTCCCACCAGGTACCATACCTTAACCACCATCTACTAAAGTGTCAAACATTGGCAGTATTATCGTTGTCACCATCTATTGTAGCCAACTATACTCAACAACATCATCATTAATACTGTCTTCAAATTATTGTTGCTTATATTGTCATTATCGTTGTCATTTTATCATCATTACCATTATTGATGTTGTCATCTTTTTTTATTATAGCAATCTCCGACCAAGTACCATACTCTGACCACCATTAACTCAAGTGTCAAATATTGAATAAATAAAAAATAATGTGTATATTACTTATATTTTAGGTGTTTGATAAAGTGAGGAATAATTTTTGTAATCGGGTATTACTTATGTAAGACAATATGTAGAGACATAAAATCATCTACTTCTATTATACCCTTTGGCCTCTCATCTTTGCTCTATGACCTATAGTCTGATGGATTTAATTAGAGAATAACTGATTCAATTAGAGATGATCTTGGGCTTAAAAATGCATTTATAGGGATAAATGTTTCAAGACGAACTCTCTTTGATTACTTTGATTACTTTATGGGTTATTAGGAATAAAATAGACATACTGATGTTAGCTAAGAAAAAAAAAAATTTTAAGGGAGAAGCAGCCAAGAGGAAAAACTTCTTTCTAAACCATATGGCATTTAAAGAAAGAGAAAATCAAACATTATTCTTTAAAGAACTAAATCTCACAGTTTAGTAAAGATATGGGTGGCTTCTTTACCCCTTTAATGACCAGCCTTAATTAACCATATTTACTTTTTCTAATTTCTCTACAATTAATTAAAATCTTCTAATTTAAAAAGAGAATATCATATTTAGCATATTTTATTCAATGTCTTAGTAAATTTCAGTATTTTTTTCATTCCAGATAATATTTAATTTTTTTATAATTTTTACCATTAATTTAAGAGATTTATTTTTCTTAAAATATATATGATCTACTCTATAAATAGGTTTTCAATTTCTAATTGCATTCATTCAAATTTGAGAATAATAAAATAATGAGTTTTTAGTTTTCAGCTAGTTAGGTTTCGTCAACTTCTTTTATTGAGTGTGAATTGATTTAACTTATGAAGGTAAGTTCTTGTGGCGTTTTATCAATTTTCTTTTGAATTGATTTCTAACTTATTAAGCTCATATTTGTGATCTTTTTAATCAATTCAAACTATGCCAATTAATTTAGTTCATAACTCCAGAAGAATTATTAGATTGAGTAGCAAGAATTTGTAGAAAATTTTTTATGATTTTAAATACTAATGTTGTATTCAGAGTTTTTGATCACGTTAGTTGATCTTGAGTTCTGCATCAATGACCTTTAGAGCATAGAGTTTTTTGGATAGAATCAATGATGTTTGACTTCAAATCACAGGTTTTTAACGAAATACTTTTGGATATTTATTAAAAACTGTATCGGTTGGTGTCTTTATATAAAATACTATTTTATTATAGTTTTGTAACTTTAAAATTCTATTTTATTAGTATTTAGTTTTTCTAGTTGTGATGAGAGAAGGAGACAACGACGAAATAACATAATAAGAAGAAAGAGATGAAGAACTAATGAGAGAAGAAGAACTAAGAAGAAGAAATAATGAAAGAAAAGAAAAAGAAGTAATGAAAGCAGAAGAACAAGAAGAAATAACAAAAGAAGGAAGTAAGACAAGAAAAAGAATATAAAGAAGAAGTAGAAGAAACAAGGGTAGAAAAAGAAGCAATGAAAGAATCTCCAAGTCTTCTGATTGTATGATGCAACTAACACTCGAGTGAGTTTAAGACTTTTTAAATGTTATGTTTAAGAAATCCTAAGAGTGATGTTTAAATTTTCATCCCGAAATCCCTACGTAGTCAAATTAATCGATGTTTATCCTACATTAGAGAAAGGTATAGAACAAGTCAAGCATCATTCTCATATCATCATCCAATAACGTACTCAATTTCGTTCATCTTTACCACGATAAGGCAGATCAAGTAATACAATTGATTATTAGGCATAAAAAAGACAAAATGTGTTACTTTTCTAATTCATTCTTATACTTCTGCACTCTATTTAGTCCCAGTATAGTTGTTTTATTCCATTCAAGTTTTAATACATAACTTAATCAATTTCACTCACACATTCAATTTTACTGTGATAGATTTTATTCCAGAATGATAGATTTTTATTCTCAATCTTAACAGAAAGAATCAACAAAAGTAATTTATTCGAACTGAATACAAATTGACTTCCGAGCATCGCAAAACTTTACAAGGAAGAGGAGCAAATACAAATGCGAACCTTTATTCATGTTATGAAAAATTCAAAATTCTTCCCTTCAATAGTTATTCCTCAAAAATCCTATGTTAATTCTCTACAGAAGCTAACAGTTAAAGAGCAAATCTGACTGTTGTTATGAATATGCTCTTAATTGCCCCAATTGTTTACTCACCGAAGTAGCTTGTCCTAATCAATCTGGAAATTCATAACATGTTGCAGATCTCGGATAGCTTCTTCAACTGCATAAATGATCATTTTCTTGATCTGCTCCAGACATGATCATGCGGCAGACAGCAAAGTATTGCAAGGTATGAGAAAATACAGACAGAAGAAGAAATTTAGAAAAAGAATGTTGACAAGAAGTTATGTTTCTTACCTCAAGTTTGTCTTCCCTGGCCCTATGATTCTTGGGAAGTTTCCGGAACTCCTCAGTCAAGCGGAGGCACTCGTGGATGTTTTCGGGAGACACAAAGTCTGCAGCTACTTTTGTACATGACTGCACATATATTCGGCAACATAACAAGTGAGGTAAAAGACAGTTAAAAAGAAGATAAAAGAAATAAAAAAAAAGTGAGTGACATAATACCTTGAGATTTCTAACTTGGTGGGGACATCCTGCAGGAATAAATACAGCCTCCCCTAGTCGCTGTGTAAAAGTCCATGGCTCAACTCCTACATAATGAAGCAACAAGTATGAGCAACTAAATTTAAATGGTTGAAAAATATGAACTTTATATTTCTCGCACTAACCAAATTCTGCCTTCAACTTCCTTTTGTGCTCCACAGTCAAGTAAAAAGATTGGTCGTGAATTGGATGGATAACCTAATCATCAACAAGCATAACCTTCAGAACTTGAAGCACATAAAATTAGATTAAGGAACTCACAGTTGGAATTACCTGTTTCACTGGAGTACAATAGGTGTGCCTGAATTCTTTGGAGTGCTTTTTCAGATATTCTTCTAATTCAGGGATATCTTCTCTCCTAAAAATATCCCATAGAGCATCACCAGTTTCCTCTAAGAATTGTTCCTGTTGACTGGTACTTTCTGACGCATCTTGTTCCTGGTGACTAGTATTTTCTGAAGCCTCTTGCTCCTGTAGACTGCTTATTCCAGAGACATTCATCCATTCTTTCCGGTCAATACTTCCTGCACCAAGCACTTCCGCAGGATGTTTCTGTACTTCCTGTCGTTCTAAACATTCTCTTTCATCCTGCCCCTTGTGTTTCCTCTTCAATATTTCAATAGCAGACTGCTGCTCTTTGGTTAATGTTACTTCTGCAGTATGTGTCAAAATATTGACCTGCACCATTATAACAATATTTGTCAAATTTAGGCACTAAGCCAAAAATTATATTGGAAAGTTCTTTGCACCAAAATGACAAACAACCATTTCTAAAAATGAAGCAAATCAAATTAAAGAGTAATATTGTATTATTTGTAATTAATTATTTATTTTATTTTCTATTTTAGAAAATCTATATATAAAAAGTTATAATATTCAATGAAATACACATCAATCAAAATCATTATTAACAAAATACACAATGAACTTTCAAAAACTGTATAAATCAGTCCATTTGTTGTTGGCATTAGATGAAATTTTTTTTCATGCCACGTGGCCACTGACTATGGCAACCTAGCCGTTGATATGGCCATACGGCATAGTATTTTGCTTCTTAGGCGCTACATAAGTTGCCCATGGTAGCTACCTTGCACATAATATATATTATATTTTTTATACTAATTAGATCATAAATTAAATAATATAATATTAATATAATATTGAAGTGTATATATATATATACACACTGTTGAAAAGAAAACCCTATAGGCTACAACTATCATCTCCTCTCACTTCATCAACTCCTTTTTTTTTTTCTTCCACTTTCCTTCCCTTCTTCCTCTCTCTCATAAACTCATTCTATCTCGCCCCTCCTTTAATTCTTTTTCTTCCTCTTTCCTTCTTCTTGCTCCCTCTCATGAAACTCATTCTCCATCTCCAATATCAAGCAAATAGTAGGCCAGCTGAGCAGATCTCCAGTGACGACCATTAAGCATCAATCTCCAGCTGCAGCCAGGTGATCTCCACCATAACGTTTCTAGCTGCAGCCACGTGAAGTTCCCCACCAATCTAGTTACTACTAAAGTGCGTGTTCAATTTACGGGTGTTCAAAACAATATCATTATTTCTCGTGTTTGGGGATTAGAAAAGTGAGAGAAAATGAGAGAAAGTTTTGGGAGAAAGAACGAGAAAATAAGGATATATCTACTTGAATCAAGCAGATAATTGAAGAAGGAGGTGATTAGGAATCAAAAACTTGAAAGTAATACTAAATCTATAAAATCGAAATAATTGAGCAAAAAGCTGAAAGCAAACGGAGAGCCAGAAATTGAAATGGGAAGAAAGAAGGCATAAGTTATAGGTACCTTAAAGGACTTTAACTTAGGAAATAAGATGGTCCCAGAACTAAGCACAAATTGATCAGTCTACACGATGGCTAATCAGCTGCTTCTCCAACATCACTTTTCTGTAAAAACCCCCCAATATCACATGTTACATTCTAAAATCACACATGTATTTTAGCTTCTCTTTTTTTTCTTTTCGATTGATTTTCCTGGAAAATGATTTAAATTTTGAGATCAAACTAAGAAGCCCGAGCAAGGTGCACTTTTCAATCCTTTATTGCATAAGAAATATGGTATGATAAGAATCATCATAGATATTCCACGGGCTGCTGCGCGCGTCAAAGAGCAGCCAAATCTTGGGGAGGTTGTCTCTGACAACGCCTGTAACACCCACAACACCATAGCTCTATACCCAAATCAAACTTTATTTGTCATGGAGCTAAACTCGTGCCTGACTTAACATGAAACTAGTGTAAGGGCAAAGTTGCACAATTTTGGGAAGTTTGAGAGATAAGTTATACATCTTCCACAAGAAAATCATATACTATTGTTTTCTCTACAATAACTCGCAACACTACTACATCTCACTTTCTTAACCCACAATCACTGGCGTCTCTTATCTTCTTATTCAACAAATGTTTACTTCCACCAAAATATACGAAACACCAACATGGTATTGACTTATTAAACAATCTATTTACTAACCTAACTATAATAAATTTGTTAAACGTAATGTACTAAATTAATTTTTTAACAAATTGACTAAAAATATAATTAATCACCTATTACTAAATAAACCGTTTAGTACCACTAACTAACATATTATTGAACAAACATAATTTTCTGAGGAGACCCTAGAGGACTACCTTGCAACAGGGACAAAGCCCTGGGTCTAAATGGCTTCTCCACGAACTTTCTTCGTAATTGGAATATCATTAAGGTTGATATTGTTAACCTATTTGAGGAATTCTGCCATTTGATAAGTTCCTTCGTAACCTCAATGCTTCCTTTGCTTAATCCTAAGGTTGAAGGAAAAGTGAACTTTGGGGAGCATTATAGTTTTTAGTTTGGCAAGATAAATTTACTAGCTATTGCCGAAGTTTCTCTTAGAAGGTTGAATTAGGTTGTTGAGAAAGTGATGGGGAAGCCTAGAAAAGCTTCTGTGAGTCAAAGAAATATCTTAGATGCATTTTTTTAATCGGTAATGGAATAGTTGATGCATCTCTTAAGAGAGAATCCCATATTTCATGTATAAATTAGTTATGAAAAGACATACAATCACATCTCATGGGTTTTTATTGTTGTCTTTTAAGGGGGATGAGTTTTGGAAAGCAATAGTGTCAATGGACTTCCCATTGCATTTTAATAGCCTCTGTTATTGTTATTGTTTTACTGGTCTGATTTTTTTAAGCCCTCCAGGGTTTGAGACAAAAGGATCCTATATCCCTCTTTTTTTGTTCTTGTTATGAAAGATTTTAACCGCCTGTTTCTCATGGCCAAAGAAGTTAATCTCTTCGAAGGAATGTGTATTGTTGGAGGAGATTAGACAATAGAAATCTCCCATGGTTATGTTCACAAATGGGACACTCATTTTCTTGAAACTGAATAGTGCTTTCACAAATCAATATGTGCCTCCTCCTTTGTTTTCAAGATGTTTTGAGTTTGAAAGTTAACTGTGGGAAATTAGAGTTGATGTTGGTGAAAAGGAGTAAATCTCCCCTCAAGTACCTTGAATTGCCTCTTGGTGCAACCATTAGTGAGGCAAACTTGTGGGATCCTATTGTGACTAAGATGGAAAAGCAGTTAGCTGGCTAGAAGCGGATTGATGCCCTAAAATGCCAGCTTTTGCAGGACAATTTGGTATGAGCAGAAGTACCACGTGTTGGTGCATAATTATGTGAAGCATCAATTGGATTTTTGGGTATAAGTCCCTGTGAAATTTGAATTAAGCTCTCTTACTCAAATAGAAATGAAGGTTCTCGTCTGCAAAAATGCTCTGCAACGGCAGAAATGAATTTGGGCCAAGTTACAGTTGCAGGCAGATCAGTGGTGTTTGAGGCCTGAAGATGGACACAGAGGAACACCAAAAGGAAGAAACAAAAGAGCTTTTGAAGATGTTTCTTCTTGTTTTGCAGCTTTACAGGATCATTAGCTTAGCTTCATATTTTCTTGGGTCATCTTCTTTATGATTATTTTGTTAACCTTTTCTATCTTCTCTTCAAGACACCTATAAGTATTTTCGTGGATGAGGCCAACCTGGTGCCATTAATGCCATTATATCTCTTAAAAAATAATAAAAATGTAAAATGTCTAATAAATAATTAGTTCAACAAAAAATAAAGAGTTATACAATTAATTGTCAATTAAATTATTAGTGCCACTTTTCTCATATCTGATAAGACACCTATTGCAGTGACAAGTGAATTCTTTATTGAATTCACAAGAATGAAATGAATTTCTCATTTCTTTCAGTCCAAACTATAGAATGACTTACAAGCAACGAAAGTAGGTAATATAATTGCCTTTTTTATTTGAATTCACAACCTAATTTCTCCTTGTTTTACGAAATGGTGAATAAATAACATGTTGTCTGCCCAGTTTAATTTTAAAAAATTGTTTTAGGTTTACATTTCTTAAATTTATATATGTTTTTTATACAAAAACATATATAGTCGTTGAAAATGAAAACGATGTATGAAAAATAATGTCAACATATGGCATGAATCTAGAAAAAAATTTCTTTTTGAAACTCATGCCATAATTTGACTACCATTTTTCAAATATTGTGTTTTCATTTGAATGAATATACATTTTTTTAACGTAAAAACATGTGCAAGTTTTGAAAACAAAAACTAAAAAGTTTTAGCAAACCAGAAAAATTTAATGTAGGATAGAGAACCTGAGCACAAGAATTAAAGAAAATCTATTAAGAAACAAAACTAGAGATTTCAGATATCAATAATCAAATCAGTAACTCAATTTTTCAATAATAATAATATGAATACTCTACCAAATAACTGAGCTACAGTACCCTGTCTTGCACATGACTTCCTTTTAGGTGTTTTAATGCTAAAAATAGAAAGAAAAAAAAAAAAAAGACACCATTGATATCAAAGGATGTGGAACCTTATATCTCGTCTATTTGTTTTACGCATTCTAATACATCATCTTCACCCTGGTATTTTCTTTACACATGCATTTCACACATGTTTATCATTCTAATCACTAGCTTTTCTAAAAACAAAATGTACATTACATCTTATCTCAGCTTGCTATCATAACGCTTGAGGCTATTGAAAGAGTCAATCTCTATATATATTTCCTATTTTTATGTGCTAAGATATCTCTTCTAAAATTGTTCTAGCCAACATACATCTAGACAAGTAATCTTCTACCTAAAATGTAAGAGATAAGAAGAGGGAGGATTTGATTAATGCTTTCGTCCATAGTCTCACTCCTTTCCATTCCACTAACCAGATTAAATCATAGGTCATCCTGTCATCAGCAACCAAGTTGGAAATCAATGCAGACAGTGTACTAGAACATCTGGAAAGCTATTAACTTTAAAACATAAGGGAAAATTTTGCATAACATGCAAAAAGCAAAAAGAAAACTCATCATTGATAACAAAATAGTTATTAGATTTGAGGACATACTGCATCTGACATATCACAGTGTAGCTTTGTCACAGAGTCTCCTCTCCCCAGCTCCTCTGCAAGCCCATAAGCAATATATGTTTTGGGACCCATGTCTGGCTTTAGGACATCTTGTGGAAACTTCACAGCAAGATTTAGGATGCCGGCCCTAGGATCACAGTATTCTTGGAAGGGCAACGCACAAATAAATTCATCACAATGGCGTGGCAAAAGATCTTCAAACCTATCCGATGGAGGCCAGTCCTTTAGCTTCAGCATCTCGGGCCAGAAATTTTGGTATCTTCTTCCTTCCATGTACCCCTCAAAAAATTGGCGAGTATTGATTTCCACCTGCATATCTCGAGAAAATCAGTATTGAAGCAAACCATACATGTAGATTAGAAGGGACATGAAATCCTAATTTGCAATCAACATTCTGGAGATAAAAAAACTGCAATAACACATCAGATTTAAGGGGTGGGACGAAGTGAAGGACCATAATTTCTCCAAACAAGAACTGCAAACTCATTTCCAAACTGACATGAATTTCTTAGAAAAACTATCCACCTCTTTTCAGAAGAGAAACATATAACACTATTTGCAAAGACTCCAAGGGACTGCTATCCATATATAGAGAAAAGAAATTACAAAATGTTACCAAGTTATTAATTAAGACTTGGCTAAGACTACCTCATGGTGAGAGATTAACCCTTGAGTTAGGATATGAAATTTACAACCCCTAATCCTAGAAAAGAAGAGACAATGTTTTCAAAGGCTTCTTTTGCTCTTTCTCATAAAATAACCCAAATAAACTATTTATCCATCAACTTATATACTATTTCATGATTCTGGGAGCTACTTAGACAAACACAGACCTAAAGTAGGGATGCCATGCAAGGATCATACTGAAAGGCATTGAATAAGTGTTCATAGAAAGAAACTTTTGAAAAATGGAACTCTTATGTCAATTTAGTTGGTTTTGCACCTCTTGAGAAATGGCCACAAACTATTGGCTTAGAACATAAATATTGTCAGTAGAGAGAACAAACCTATACCTCACAACCAGCCAAACAATCAATTGCCTTCACTTCTGACATGCTAGAACTGGTTGATGAATCCACATTTTCACACAATGCACGCCATATGACCAAAGGTTCCCAGCTTAAACCAGAAGTATTTTCCAGAACATCGCGAACGATTATTGGTTCGCCTTTAAGCCAGTGCTTTCTAAAGTGCAGAAGTTCTTCCTCCTGCAGAATCTCCTTTGATGCTGGGCAATACAGGTAATTGTCATTGGATCCTTCTCTAGATGCAGCTCTCCGTAACATGCTTGTGCCTGATTCAGAACACTTGCACGTCAAACTTCTTATCTGGGTATTGCATTCACCAAATAAATTTTTGGCCTTCACTTCCAAGTCTGAAATCCAATCCACTGGAAGAATGCGCCTGAGCCCCAATACACAATCACCGCATCCTCCTAGTTCTGTTGGGGCACAAGTAATGCTACCATCTTCATTGTCATTCCACTGAACTAGAGCCTCAACATTATCCTCATAAGTTTCAGGAAGACAGGATTCAGTTAAAGGATCTCCTCCATGCATATAGTCACTTCCTCTGTTCACATATTGAAATTTTATCTCAGCACGCCCCAAGAGGCACCTTTGACGAATTTCCTGGCAACAGCTGAGACAGAGTTCATAAGAACATTTTGGGCAGCTCCGGTGAAGGTCAACAATTGAAGTTGCACAATGGTTGCTGGGGAAGGGAAAATATCCAATAAGATCACAGGGAACAAAGAAAACAGATTTGCATGGTTTTTACTGCTTAATGGAATGAGACGCATACCAATAGATGCGCTCATCACTGAAACAAAGTGTCTGAGGAATTTCAACTGCAGCAGGATGTATCCCTAAACAGGACAAAAGTTACTATGAAAAATTATCCTTTTTAAAACAGAACTCATTTATGGACAAGAGAAATGCACCTTGAATCTTAGCCTCAATCTCTATCTCTTGCCTTTGTACTTCACATATTTGCTTCAGGAATGGAAGCAGTGACTCAATCAAGTAATGGAGATGTTGAACCTTTTCATGATGGGTTATCTCTCTCTTTGATGTCTGTAAATTAGGAAATATATTGGCTACCATTTACAAGACGAAAATTATAATGAAAATTTAAGCATGAAGGAAGGCTTCTGTTCAATGGTGATAAAACAACTTTTCGCACAGTATAGATAATTCAACCAGATTTTTGAAGAAGGAAATCGACGATTATCAACCTAGTTGACATAAATACTCAATTAAATCTCTAACCTAAATCATTGTAACAGATACTTAACAGACATTTTACCCAGAAACTTCAACCTGACAAAAAAAAGTATTAAGTTGATTAAGAAGGACAAACTCCATTTACCTAAAGATTGAGCATAATGAAGATAGAAATGTAAGATCAGACTGCCAGGAAAACAAACTAAGGTAGTATTTCATCTTTTTAGTACGCAGTTTATTGATACTGAAAAATAAAATCAGCTCGAACATTAGATCTTAGGGTGACAAAAAAGAAGTTTAGACCCTGACTGATCTATTTACTTTTCCTAAAAAACTATTTATGGACTATGACATCACATGAGATAATATTGAAGGATTTTTACCTTGGCACAGGAGACTCGTCAAAGAAAATTTGCTACAAGTGGGTTCTCTTAATAGCACATCACAACTATGAATGCTTCTCAACTATTCATGCAAAATCTTACTTCTGGACATTTGACATGGATATGGGAGTATTCATATTGAAAATGCATTTTCAATAGAAAACTTGTTTGGCATACAAATATTTATCAGCTAAGTTAGTTTGATAACACATTTTGGAAAGAATAATTCTTTAGTCCACTAATGGAACTAAATCATGACTGATTATGCAAATAATTTTTAAAAACTTCAACGGTGCAGGACAGAGAGAATAAACCAAACCTTGATTAATCCACTTAAGTGTAAGCATATACTGCAGTTGCAATTTCTGCAGCAGAAAGGGCATTTACGCCTAACAACTTCTTCTGACAATTGAGGGTACCTATGTAAATCAAAAGAAGAAAAAATATATCAAAACTATTCATTACGATACTGAAGAATGTAAGACATAATATTTTAGGTAGAAAAATACCACTGCCTTATACAATGGAGACAATAAACTTTATCTTTGCAATTTGTACAAGGAACAACATTTTTTCTTTCAGCTCTCATACATTGATGGCACTTAGAGCATTCACTTTCATTTTGAACCTGCTTATTTAAAGCAAAATTTGTAGCAAACTTCAGTCAAAAGATTAAAACAAAATAGGAACCTTCTTTTTGTTTGAGCAGGGAATAAAATTGTGCAAAACATTACCTTTACATTTCTTTTTCGGCCTCTACAGCCAGTACTACTATCACTTTTCAAGGTTGAAGCTGATGAGTTGGAAGAAGATCGTGATGAGGGAGGTGAACATGAATAGGTAACTGTAGAATCACAAGTTTCCTGCTCTGAAATTCTTTCAGTCACCTTGCTGTCTGAATTTCTGCGCCTTCTGTGTGATTTCATCTTCATAAAAACAGACATTTCTTCTTCCCATTGATCTGCTATGGCCCCATCTTCAAAAGTATCCCTCACTTTCAAAGCACTCCGCTGCTTCTTAGGAACTCTCTTATCCTCTAAGAATTCAGCTGTCTCAGTTAGCTCCCGTCTCTTGGATGAAATTTTCCTGTCTGGGAATGACTCCTTATGTTTATCTCTCACCTTTTCTGCTGTATGTTCATTATTTTCAGGTCGAGGGACTCTTGGCATCCTTTGCTTTCTCACTGGCCAAGAAAGTCCTTGCATTTCCCTCATTCTCTTAATCACCATTACTACGGTCTAAACTTAATTGTTTCTCAATCACAGTGTCCATTAGCTGCAAATAAAGTATCTGAGTTTGTTAGCTTAATATCATCCAAATATATTTCATCAGAGTTCAGGCCAGTATCTTTAGAGAGGACTGTTTTATTGGAACTCACAATGCAGCTTATTTTTCATAAGTTTTTGACATACCAACGACCTGGTTTAGCAATTAGAATAGGAATGGGTGGACAAACAACTTCATGAGCTCTGACTTGCTTCTGCCGGTAATAGTGATGGTGCAGGGTCAGGGGATGAATACTAGTACAAAGACGTTTCCAAATCTAAAAATTAAAAAATTCGAACTCATATAAATTTTTCAGAAACTTGACTGGGGAGTTCTGGTGAATTCCTACATACTTCGTACAGTTGAAATTTTGTTGATAGTTCCTCTTCCTTTACACAAAATGAAATAACACTAGTTACCTTAACGTTTTATAGATCTACATATTGTCATGCTGCCTATACTGAGCAGATTTCAAGTAACCGACAACTAATTTCTTCCCTAGAAGAACATTTTTCATGCGGACAAACATAAGCAGATGAAAAAACACAGGCCAGCCGAACTGATGAAAAAACCCAAATTCGTTTCTACATAAATATATGCACTCAAACACACACGCACATACATGAATGACACTGAAATAACGTCGCAAGCAGGTGCGTCGACTAAAAGTCAACTCACCTAAACTATTCCCATTAAATTCAAAACACACTGAAAATCCAGAAAAAAGAAAATCATGATTCATTCACATGAATGACTAATTGAAATCAACAAAAGCTTTTGCAAAAACTAAAACCATCAGGACCCTGCAAATGCATTGTCGACCGAAAGCCACCCTGCCTAGTTTATCCAAATACTCCCTTAATGTTCAATAAGCAACTAGAATTCAAAAGAAAAACCAGAATTATAGTGCATTCGAAAAACCAACAAGAATCCAACGAAACATAAATTCATCGAAACACATTCTTCCAAAAGAAAAAAAAAAAGGAAAAGAAATTTTCAACATATAGGATATTGAGAAACAAAATATCAACCGCAATCAAACCTTCTCTCTCGATTATTCACAAGAAAATCAAAACGAAAATGAATTGTGGAGGTACCTGATCAAGAAGAACCGGCTCGTAAACGAAAGAACCCGCCGGCTGCAGAAGAATTAACAGATCTTTTTCTTCTGAGAGAGGGAAGTTAGGTAGGTAGCTCTGGTAAAACTTTCCTTGTCTTTTTATATTTGTCTTCACTTCTCGATCCTCTTGGAATTGTATTGGGGTAAATCCGAATTAGAAAAAGATTTGGGGGTCTATTTACAAATACTTATAAAATGCGGGAACCTTTTACAAATCCAAATCTTATTAATTAAATCACCCGTCACCGTTACGGAAATCATTTAAATAAAAAGATATTATTATTATTTAAAATATTTCAAAATTAAATATAAATATATTTTTTGAACATTTTTATTTTTATAATTTACAAAAAATTATATAAACACCAATTTAAAAAAACATTAACACAAAAATATATATTTTTTAAAGTACAAATTCATGTCACAAATAACCATAATTAAATTAATTAATTAATTAATCATAGATAAATTGAGCTTAGTAGCTAATTAATTGTCACACACACATATATATATATACACACACACACCCATATATGTTATGAGGAGTAATTTAATATTCCTACATTTATATAATAACAAATAAATATATACCTACTAATTTGTTGTAATCAAACCTCTTAATTAGGAAACTCTTTGTCAATTGGGCTAAAATATGGGACCTCTATAGATATTTCATAATGCTTAGCAATTTCCTTATACACCATTACATATATACATATATATATATATATAATTTTTTAAATATTTTTTTATACCATTTAGAATGATATATTTCCTTATTTTACTTTTTGGGTCCTCTCATTTTGTCCTAAATAGAGTAGTGGAACATATTTATTGAAAAGGAAAAGGCTAATTTCATAAATAATTAATTATATATAATGATAAAACGGAAAAATGGGTTTTTTTGTAAGTTTCAATTAGAATTTGGGCTTTTAAATAATAATTAAGAAATAAGGGGGTAAATTTTAAAAAAATAGAAAATTGTGGGGGGTTAAAAAAAGAGGGTCTGGTAAATAAATAATCAAAATATAGAGATTCCGTTGGATTGAAATGGAATTGGATTCCAAATTTTCAGTGGGCGGTCAAAGTCAACTTAGAATTGATGGTGATCCAAGGTGGTCTCTGGCTAATAGGAAAATAAAATTAAATTAAATACTAATATATATATATATATATAACTTGTAATAATATATTATCACATTAAATTACCAATGTGATAATTATTTTATTTTAATTTTTAATTTATCGTAAATAATTTTTTACCATATAAAAAATAGGCCAAAAAAAATCATTATAATTTTTTAATCCTTAAAAATATTTTATCTCCTAAATTTTTCAGAGAATTTTGAATTTTAATTCGTTTCAATTCAAAGAACAAGACAAAATTTCACAATAACATAAAAAAATGTGGTCAAATTTGGAATACAATCAAAAATTTTAATAGAAGTAAAAATAACTTAATTTAATTAAAGTTCTTTCTTTGCCCTAATTTTCGATTACAAAATTTAATTTGTACGAATCGTTCTCGATTTAATACTAATAATGGTAGTAGCTTCAGTATGATAAAGATACATATGTATCCGTAATCAAAAACTCATTGATAATACATTTTCTGATATGTTATATACCATTTCGGATAGATTGAACCAAATACACGTAAACAGATTCTTATCTCAAATCAGAACATATTATTGTACGAATCGTTTTTGATTTAATACTAATAATAGTAGTCGTATCAGTACAATAAAAATACACATGTATTCGCGATTAGAAATTTTTCGATAATACATTTTTCGATATGTCATGTATCATTTCGGGTAGATGGAACTAAATGTACGCACACGTGGATTCCGGACTCGAATCGGCATATTTTTTTAAGCTCTTTAACCCTTCCTAAGCCAGGCTTGAACAGAATAGTAAGAGCAATAACATAGCAAAAAATGTTTGATAAATTCCATTCAAGTGAGCAAAAAGTACAAAAGAGAAAACTAAAAACCAGAGAAATGATTGTCATCATACAAGCAAATAATAAGAAAAATAAAAAATAAATCACGCATAATTCACATGGCCTACAATATATATCTCCGCTAAGCTTAGATATATATACC